TAACCACTCCCACACTGCTCTTGGCCCCCCCCATACACTCTTGGCAACTCCCTCACCCCCATTGGCCCCCCCCCATACTGCCACTGGCCAATCCCACAGCACCCTTGGCCCTGCCAGATCCCCTCTTGGCCCCTCTCACACTGCTCTTGACCCATCTCACAACTCTCTTGGCCCCCCCCACAACCCTCCTGGCCACCCCGTACTGTTCTTGACCCCTCCCACACTGCTATTGACCCCTCCCACACTGCCCTTGGCCCCTCCCATACCCCTCTTGGCCCCTCCCACACTTCTGGCCCCTCCCACAACACTCTTGGCCCCCCAAGCGAACAAAAGGAGCACCTGAGACTTGTAGACTTGAAACGGGAGGAAATACTCGAGATGAGCAAATACCTGTGATGCCTGTTCCTCCTAGGAGAGGTAGGAAGCCTAAACTGACTAATTCAGAAAAAGTAGAAAGCAGCCATTCTGATGGACAAGCGTTGTCCGTCAGCAGGCTGCCCATAGCTGTTACTCCAAGAGGAGGATTAAGGAGAGCAGAGGAAGCTGCTTCTGAAGTCTCGCAAGAGGCTAGCGAGGAAAGTTCTCCTGCTGAAGGTAGCGTTATTGCTTCTGCTCCTTCCAAAAGGACTAGAGGAAGAAAAAGTTGAGCAGGAGGTCAAGAAGCTGGCCAGAGTGCCACCGATCAGAAGATTAAACAGGCAGTCAGTCCCAGCAGAAGTGCAAGAAAACCGAAACTCATTGATTGACAATTTACTGGCAGTATTGTCAAGGATCAGGAGGGGCTGCCTAGTGACCAACTCCTCTTACCTGTGCCAACTAAAAGAGGCAGAAGGAGGAAGAGGAGTTCATCAGAAGTTTTGGAAAATTCTGCCCTTGATCTGTCTAAATCATCGCTTCCTCGGGCAGGATTTAAACTTCCTGTCACTCCTAGAAGACGCGCGAGGAAGGGGGCACAAATTTTCTTGGCAGGCAAAGAATCTGCCTGTACTCAGGAAGGCATACGTGCAGGTGGGAGAGTGGAAATCCTTGGTTCTCCTAGGGGCAGAAGAAGAGTTCCACATGCCAAGCCAGAAAAAACGGATACTCGTGAGCAAGAACTTCCACAGGCAAATGAGGAATCAGCCACACCCAGGAGTCTGGTTTGCCAATTGACGGGGTTAACACAAAGGACACAGACACCAAGCTAAAGAAATAGGCTTATTTTACCTTAAAGCAGCAGAAAGAATAAGCAAGGTAATGCACCTAGACATTACTGTTTAAAGCAGCAGAAAGAATAAGCAAGGTAATGCACCTAGTCGTTACTACATAAAGCTGGCTATAGTGATTAAGAAAGATCCATCACCAATTGCCCTCATACTTTACCATCACCCCGACCCGTGCATCAGCTGGGGAGCCCCGTCACAGCGAAGGATCAGAGAGCCTTTCCCAGAAATTGGGAAGTCCTACGCAGTGTGTCCACTCGTAGGTGAGGTCTCCGTCTGTGCTGTGAGAGGGTCTGGCTTTTATACAGTTTAACAAACAAGTCTAAACGAAATGCACAGGAGATACCTGGTAGATTGACATGCCTCACTCAGGCGTGTCCGGATCTGGCCAGGATCCGGGCACGTCTGAGGAGTTTCTGTTTTTCTTTACATTTGGGATTTATAGTTACTTCCTATTGTTTACTTACAGTTCCCAGGGATTGTTCCCAGGGTTGCATTTTCATGCTGATAAGGTGCTGGTTGCTTCATTCTGCTGCTAAGATGCTGATTGCTGGTGGGGGAATGCACTCAGAAGTCAACTTTGGTTTGAGGCCTATTGTTTGGGCCTTTTCTGTTTCAGAGTCCAGTAAGGAGAACCCGTCGGGGCAGAAAGAGACGATCGTTATTGAAGGAGAGCACAGGGGAGGAGGCCTTCTGCCGAGGACCTGATGGCAGTCCTTTGCTGCTTGAAGACATAAACCTGTCAGGACGTGATGAAGGATCAAGAACTTCAACAGATCCTGTTTCAAGAACCAGATCCTGCAGAACTGCCATGCATCAGAAACGGCCTGTTGAGGAAAAGGAGTCCTTCCTTTTCTCTCCTCCTCTCACAAAGCTGACAAAGAAATTTAAAGGTGGGTGCGCTACGATTATACCCAAAACAGGGCGTATTTATTGCTGTTTTGCAAACCAGAGAAGACAGACCGTGAGGACGGCTTTAGGTATTGTAAGGAATGTAACCGTGCAAAATCAAAAATCCTGCAAGAGGCCATTCATCTTTTTTCTGAACTCTGTATGAGTGGGTGGCTAGTTGAGATGGAAACAGATGAGGGGACTGCTCTGAGTAGAGTGAAATGAAATTTACGCTGAATTTTTGTTAGGAGCTCATTTTCTCTCAGTTTCAAAGCCCGAAGGGTATCTGTTATATGTATGTTTATGATATGTGCTTATATACGTTTTATAGATATGTATTTTATATATATATATATATGATAGCCATCCTTTCCCCCCAGTGGGGAAACAGAGGAGACACGCTTCCAAGTTCCGTTCAGTTTTTAACTTAAAATGAGCTGCATCTTGCCACAAACTACACAGCTGTTTAATTAATTAGGTGATAGTTTCTCATGGGCATATACTTTGCTAGGGAGGTTATTGTGCATAGGCTTCTTTTGATTAGAGTGCGTGGTAAAAAAAAGTTAGGCTTTGCTGGTGTGGCGTTGTTTCCCTCGCGTGGGGAGAACATACTTAAATCTGTAGGAGAGAGTCACCAAAAACCCAGGCCTGTTGCCCGTGTTGCAGATGTCCCCGCAGTTCAGCTTGTCAGGTTGCTGTTTGTAAAAGTATGTTTCAGCATTCGGGATTGAACAGCTGTCTGGCCAGGGTGCTGGGCAGCCTGCCCTGGGGGACCCTGCTTGAGCAGGGGGGCTGGGCCGGGTGACCTCCAGAGATTCTGGAAGGCCTTTGTCTTCATGGTGATGCTGTGATTCTGGAATCTGTGATGCGAGGGGCAAGCGGTGAGATGTCACTGGGGGGTGGCGCGCTGGAGGTGTCCTGCTGACTACGGTCTCCCTCTGCCAGGAAGGCTGCGTGTGTGTTCTGTGCTGAGGCACTCAGCACCTACGTCCGTCTGTCCAGGTACACCAAGCGGTGTGAAAAAGAGCATCATTTCAGAACTGACGTCGGGAGCTTTTGCAAACTCTGCCGCGTTAGGCAGGGACTGCACCCCTTGGATGACAGCGGAGTTTTGTCAGGGAATAGCCACAGGAGGTAGCTGGGTAAACTGGCTCTAGCGTCAAGTTCTGGGGTGGTTTGGCTTGTTTTTTCATTTAAAGGGAAGTCAAAGCTGTGGGCTGCATCAGCTCCGGGATCTTCTCTGCTGGGGGTTGTTGGGCTAGAGAGCTGAAACTCTTTCTTCTTCTCACCTGCTGCTGTAGATTCGTGCTTATGGAGCAGCCGCACAGACTCTGCAGGAGAATCTGTAGGCTGCGCTTGAGTGAGATAAGCCTGATTGTAGAATTCCGAGGCAGACGGTCTCCGATATGCTCGTGGCCTTTTAGAGTAAAACTCCTGTTTTGGTCTGAGTGGAGAGGTGATACCCCGGTGGGTCACGCTGCCACGCGGAGGGACTTTGACAGGCTGGAGAAATGGGCTGACGGGAACCTCAGGCAGTTCAACAAGGGGAAAGGCCAAGTCCTGCACCTGGGGAGGAACAACCCCATGCACCAGCATGTGTTGGGGGCTGCCCAGCTGGAAAGAGGCTTGGCAGAGAGACCCTGGGAGCCTGCTGGGCACCAAGCTGACCGTGAGGCAGAAGTGGCCCCCGTGCAGAGAAGGCTCTTGGTGTCCTGGGCTGCGTAAGGCGGAGCTTTGCCAGCGGGTGGAGGGAGGTGAGGGCTTTTGACTCTCTGGAGCCCCCGGATGCAGTGCAAAAGGCTGTCCCGCTGTTTACTTTGAAACGCTGACAAGCACCAAAAAGCAAATGCAGCAAAACTGCTGCAAAGAAGTTGTCCCAGTTGGAACTTGATCTGTGCTAGCTGTGAATGCTGGCAGAGTGGTCAGGCTGGCTGGCTGCAGCAGCGTCCTGCGATACTGGCTTTGCCATTGGCAACGCTTTTTTCAACGTGTTGACTTGTGCTTAGTGCAGGCCCCTGACTTACACTTCCTGCCTTTCCCACACTCCTTGGTTTTGCGCTGGCAGAAGATACTGGACATATTCTCAACCCGAGTGCTTGTGACTGGACATGTAGTGGATTCCAGTGCACAGGCTTCAGAGCATGAACTTTCTTACGGTGCCATTTTCAATAGCGCAGAGAACTTGCAGAACGTAGTAACTTGGAGTAGTTTGCATTCCCATGTGTATGGAATATCTCTTGTTTAGCCACCTATTTAACCCTGTAAATCAGTTCAGCTCTCAAGTTTTGCCACCAGCACCTCTGTTTTGACATAGTGAAATACGAACTCCTTGTGGAGCACCTGTAGAAGTGTGGACACCGTCTGAAGGGCCTAGAAATTTCTGTAGTAGACTGCAGGGATGTGATGAGGGCAGGCAGTAGGAAGGAAGGGACTGGAATAAGGAATACGAGGATCTCAGAACAGGAAAATATCAGTGTTTTAAAGTGCTGTGTTCTGTTTCCATCGTAAGTGTATGGGAAACTACTTTCTGAATGATGAACTGTGGAAGTCTGTATTGCTTGCAATGTGAAATACGATTTTTCTCAGCTCACATCTTATTAGCCTATGTGAGCAGACGTGAACTCAGGATATTGGGTTTTTTCCTGTTATTTATCTTGTCCATACATCTGTGTCACTTTTTGTTTGTGATCCCACAGGCATCAGAGAAGGGAAAGGATTCTCGCTTTGCTCTGCTGTGAGATTGAAAACTGTCCCGAGTGCCGCTTTTTTAAGGGAAAGAACTACAGGTGATGTACAGGAGATGATTCGCTGCATCCCGATGGAACTTGTGTCAATCTCAAAAATAGTTAGGGCTGACGTGGGTCATTTTTTTTTTTTTTTTCTTTACAGTGAAGAGTGCGAGACCTGATGGCTCGGGTAACGAGCAGTCTGCTGCAGTTTCCCGAGGTGACTGTTCAGGCACTTGGGGAAGATGAGACAACCCTAGATACTGTGCTGAGCGGGAAGTTTTCTGGAGGTGAGCATTTTCCTTTAAATTTGGTCTTGGTGCAAAGATGTTATTGCCTGGAGGTTACCTGAAGCACCGGGGCACCGTAGCAACTGTGTCAGGTTGGTGCTGTTAAGATGCGTCGGGTTTGCCGAGAACAGAAAGGATGTTTTAACTATTAAACGTGTTCATATTAAAACGTTAGTGTAGCTCAGCTTTGAAACTACAGCAGCCTGCACCCATCTTGTGCCATCAGAACAATTTCCGTAAGCGTTGCTGGGTCGGTGGCCCTCCTCAAATTCTAATTCAGTAAGAGGCAGTTTTCCAAAAAGTAATAGTGTTGTTTGGGGCCGTATTGATTTGTACCAGCTCAATCTCTGTGACCGTCACATGCCGAAATGTTACAGAGGCAAACCCCCCTGGTTTTACTTTTCTAGTGTGAATAAAAACAGAAGGAGGGGGAGAAGGCTGTTGAGCGCTGCATCCGTATTTCCCAAGAATCTGACAGGACGCAGATGAGTACCCAGTGAGAGTTGCTGAAAGTGGCTGAGCAGATTAGGTCATTGACTTTCTAGGTGATCTGAAAGTAGAGCTGGGTGCCTGCCCGGATGCCTGGGCTTCTGTTTAGACCAGCTAGAGTCCACCTGCCTGACTGGAAGTGCAGTGATTGAGTTGAGTTACTCCTTGCTTTGAGTTTGAGGAAGTTCAGTGAAACAGCACGTGTTAAATTCTTCCTGTGCTCAGCACGTGTAACAGTTTGAATTTACTCATGTGGTGCCCATTTTAAGATAAATTCTTGCGGAAGTCTAAATCCCTGCCCAAAGTAGGCATGTGGCAAGTAAAATGAATACACTAGAAACGAATTGGTTTAGATTTGCTCTACTCAAAGTAGGCTTTAGGACTTGTATTCCCCTATGTATTTAGAGGATTCTAGCAAAACCTAGCTGAATATGGTAAACAGACTAGAGATCAATATCTCGTAATCTTTATCCCAAACAATCAGAACTCTTCAGTGCGGGAGTGACAAGTACAAATGCAAAATACCAAAGGTGTTAATTTTCAAATACATTCCTTGAGGATTTCAACGGGTGGCTTTAACTACTTGACCGGAATCGGGCGGGTTGGTCTTCCTCTGCTCGGTACTTTTACTGAAGGAAAGGGCGGTGACTGTGACTTCTCGGCAGTTTTCAGTCTTCTGCTGGACCTTTGCTTAAGTCCTCTTGCGTTTCTCTTCCAGGGAGCCATGGCCTGGCGTGGCAGGCGTGTGGTCCTCAACTCGAGGCGGTGAGCTCTGTGACAGGAGCGCGGCTCTCTGCGTACCGTTTCCAGGGAGCAAATAAACAGCCTCCCACTGTGCGTGTGGTAAAGGAGTTTTCCTGGCAGAAGAGAACTGGGCTGCTGGTTGGCTTGGAAGAAGCAGAGGGAAGCGTTCTCTGTCTGTACGACCTTGGAATATCAAGAGTGGTTAAAGGCGTGGCTCTTCCAGGAAGGGTACGTGCTTTTTAATTGGAGAAACGAAGCTTTTATGTTGTTAGGTGCTGCACGATCCTGTTTCCGGAAAAGCTTTGGAGCGTCTCTTTGCAGGAGGTATTTTTTCTGTATTGCGTTAGCATTCTGTCGCTTCAGAGTATCCAGTCAAGGCAGCCTTGATCCTGGGCCTAACGGTACCATTATCTTTGGAGTTGACTGATCGTAAGGTAAGTTTTGTGGTTTTACTGCAGAGCACATAGTTACCTAACTCTCCGCTTCCACAAAAAAGGGCATTGAAAACTATGCTTTTTGGGGCAGAGTGAAAAGGGAAACCCCCCCAGTCTTTAAAGTCTCTGTAGCATACATTTCCTGAATGGTTTATTCTGTCAGAAATACTGTCTTTAACATATCTCAGAGGTCTGTAGTTGTGCTGTAAATGACTTAGACCCAGTCCCATGAGTCTCAGACAAGCAAGCCGGTGACTTCAGAGCAGAACAGATTCTTTCTGTTGCCTTAGGTTAGAAAAAAGAGCCTTTAGTAAGTTATCTGACAGACTGTTGAAAGATCAACTTTCCGTGTGTGGCCCTTGAACCTCTGATTATTGAAATTGTGTTTGTGTGGAGGGGATACAGTGTTGTGATGTTGCCAATTTTTTCTGTCTTGTATAAGCCCTGGGCTCAAATGATGTGATGACCCCTAGTCTCATTGTCTTAATGCAAACAAGAATCAGCGTAAGTTAATTGAACATCAAGGTGCATTCTGGTTTTATCCTCCCAGAATCTGCAACAAGTAAATACTTCTTTCTTACCCAGCTTTCCGTAAAGTGATTTGGCTTGACTTGCTAGAACACGGGTGGCATTTTGCTTGTTTGTTTGTAATGCTACAGTGTGATTACTAGTAGTAAGCATTTGTACTGTGGTAATTTCAGAAGATAGGAGTTGGGTTGCCGCTCCACTGTGTTAGTTTGCCTATCACCTTGAGAAATCCCGGAGTTTCAGACGGAAGGGCATGCTGTGTGCTGACATCAGCATATAATCAGTAAGCAAATGACATTTGTGGAAAATGACATTGCTTTTTATAGTTTTATTTGTTAAATCTAAGTGAACTGGGAATAGGAGAAGGAAAGGTTAAGAAGGACCATGTCACCTACCGCCTCTGTGTCTACAGAAGTGACTTGAGGTCGAATGTAGTTCTCGGTTGTATTAGGGAGTTTTTCTATAGCACGAAGAAATGCCTCAGGAGAAAATGTGAAGAAACGTTGTGGGGGAAAAGTTGGCTGTTGTGTGATGAAGGTTGTGGATTTCGGAATAAAGTCACAGCTTATTTGAGTGTTTGCTCTTACACCCTAGTGCTCTGGATTATAAGCATGTTTGGTCTGTTGCTTTCATTTTGCTTCCTATCTTTTTGCGACTAGATGAGGCAGACGGGCATAGACAGGGCAGAGGTATTGCCAGTTGGACTGTTAGCTTTGAAGTTGTGAGTGTGGGAGTAAGGGTAAGCAAAACCAAGTAGATAAAACTTGTACTTGGCCACGGTCCATAGGTTTTGAATTTCTTCGGTAACTCGTACTTCCAAATTATAAGTTACGTCATACGCGTTTTGAGTCTGCTGGAATGTTTCTCTGGTCTTCACGCTGATGATCTTTAAACGTAAAATGCAGATCTGTTCTTAACATCACTTTCCACAGTACTAACAGTCGTTACTGTTTTAAGGCTTTAATGAGCACCTTTGTTTCTGGACTCTTTTCCACGTGGGTATATCTTCTGTGGACAGCTAAGCTGTAGAGTTTAACACTAGCTTAGAGTAACTGTGGTCCAAGGTGTGAAGCCCTTAGTGTTTTAATACAGGGTATTTATAGTGACCGTATAACTGCCTTCTGGAGTAAGAGTAGGTGTGTAGTCACTCAGAGAATTAAAAAAAACAAACTCTCAAGCTTCGACAGAATATTGGTGTAATTCTGTGTGTGTGTGTGTGAGCATCTCTCACTGCCCTCTGGATATACACGTGAAGCACAGCAGAAAACTCAGAGTGTCAGTGGAGTATTATTTGAATGGGATTCTTGGAAAAGCGAATCTGAATGTAAGGCATTAATTATCTAAAACTGGTTTATAATGGTTGCATGTTTCAGAACTATTGAACGGTATTTTGACAAATGTTCCTGGTCTGTAGGCTTCTTCCGTAGTTGGAGTTAGCTTTTTATCCCACAAGCTGCTGTTCTTTTTGCTGCTGTTTTAGTCTGGCCTTTCAAATTTTTGTTCCCATTCACAAAAGTGCTGGTGTGCATGGAAAACTTTTTAGTTTATCTGGTTGTTACCTTTACCCTCCATGAGGACGAGCGTAAATTTTACTGAGCCAGTATCTCCCTTGAACACTGTGTAAAAATGTGTAATTCCCATGCAGATGGTGCGTCTACCATGCGACTTGACCGCTGCCTCGTGTGACTTACAGCCATGATTTATCGTAATACCTGTTTGGCAAAGGAGGCGTAGCCGGTGTCCCAGTGCCGATGGGCTGTGAGCAGTGGGAGAAGGCGATTTAGTTTTGTCTGTCTTCCTTCGGTCCCTTAATTACGGTCAAGTTTCTTGCATACGTCTGATTTTCTGTGTTTTCTTAGACTTAATTATTTCCAGGTAGCAAAGGGAGGTTGGTGAGCTGTAATAACAGAATGCGCCATGTGAGCGGAAGGTAATTCCGTTAAGTAACTGCGGGAGATCTAGTGAATGGGAAGAAGTACCAGGTGTTTGTAGAGGGCTTTATTTTATTATTATTATTTTTTCTTGATAAAATTGGATATTGTCTGTAAGCCTAATGATCCTGTATTTACCTTCTTGTTTCTGATGTGCTAATTCTGGTTTCACCTTCGAATGATTTCCGTTTAGCTTGTCAAGCAGCTTAAATACTGACTTGCACTCTCCCTGTAGGTAACTGCTGTAGAGCTCATAACTAATCACGGAGGCATCACCAGTGCGAGCGCTCGGCACCTACATCCGAGCCTGCAATGGCTCTTTGGCGTGGCAGCAGTGGCTACAGATGTTGGCCACCTACTTCTGGTTGACCTTTGCTTGGATAATTTATCTTGCAGTCAGAATGAAAGAGAAGCATCGGGTAAGCGTGCGCTTTTTAAACTTGAATTTAAAAGGAAGAAACCTGGTGTCTTTTTAACAAACAGTATGAGTGCCACTTTGCAGATACTCGTGTGCAGACATTGATGAGTGCTGATTACAGGTGGCAGTTTGACATCACCTAGTCCTGAACTGATGAAAAATGGGAGTGGCCCAGTGCTCCCGCTAATGCTGTAAACGCCCCCCTCCCACCACGATCCCCATGTCCCCGTGATTCTTGCCGGTGAGCTGTAGGGATTTCACCGTCTGAGTCGGTGCAGCTGCCTGGCAGGAAGTTGTGCCGGAGGTGCCCTATTTCTTGGGAACGTTGTTCTGCTTCTCTTAGCTGACTTGGGGCAGATCTTAAGCTTGCTTTTTGAAACAAATCCGACTTTCCAAAATTCATGCATGTGGGTGAATGAGATCTCCGGTTGGTGTATTCAGATGGCATACGCTGTTCCAGCTAATACAGCAGTGGCTTTGGGAGTTTATGGCACTTCAGATAGCTTCACCGTGAAGCCCCAACTCCTGATTTCCAAAGTCCAAGCAGAATTTGTCGCTGAAGGTTACGCTTTTACCTGGTTTTGCCATACGAGGGAAAATACCCGTCCGATCGGAGAGTTCTTATGTTCTCTGAATACACAGAAGACGGCAGTAGCAAAAGAAGCGTTGCATAAATGGGTATTTTGCCTGGGCTGGTAGAATCAGGTTACCCGTGTAGTCACGTCAGTGTTGAAAATGCAACGTGAATGGCATAACACATTAATTCCTTGTGTGGTTTTGTGTGTGTAGATCTGGAAGTTGCCAGTGGAATTCCTGTGGGAGTTCCAAAGAGAAGAAAAACTGTGGCCAGAGAAGGGAGACATCTCTGTTTTCAATTACAAAATCCTTCGGGAACAGCAGTATCAACCCTGAGCTACATAAGCAGAAGCAATCATCTCGTCGTGGGTTTTTCCGATGGCTACCTGTCACTGTGGAACATGAAAACGTTGAAGAGGGAGTAAGTAGGCCTTTACACTTGGCTGTGCCTGGCGGTGCACCGGTCTCCATGTTTTGCCTAAGGAAGGACGTTAATTACAAGAGAACTGTTTCCGGGACTGAAATTTTGCATGTAATCTTGGAAGAATGCTCAGAAATCCTCTTCTGACAGAGCTGTGAAGTCACACAAGGCCCGAGCGGACCGCCTTCTCCCCAGTGGACCGGGATTGTTTTCCTTACTGTGCCTGTGGATTGAGGCATTGTGGAAAGCGTGCTTCTTTGGGTTATGGCAAGCAGTTAGGACGTGATAGAGCTGATTTTTATCAGACAGTTTCTTCTTTCGGTGGCATTTGGTGAAACCAGGAAATGTGTGTATTTCGATGAAACAGATCTTAGAAATGCTTTTTCTGAAGAAGTTACTGCAATTAGGGCATGCATTGAAAGGCATAATTATGTTGCTAGTGTGATTTTGGTGGTGATATTCTTTAAAGTGTCCCGGATGATACTAGTGAGACATGAAGAATCAATAGCTGGTCTGTGCCTGAAAACATATTCTTTCTTACGTGTCAGCCTCGACCGAAACAGGGGAGTGAGCCATTCTGAGGCAGCAATGCACGTGAATGAGAGTTTGCGTGGAACACTTGGAGATGAGAATAAGGGACATGTGAACTCACGAGGAATAGAAAAATTAAGAGATGATTTTAAATCTGCCAGAGAGCAATCTCGCTCGAAATATTTGTCCAAATTCGGGTAGGGATTCACTTCAGCAAATCTGCAGTGCCTCTCCGGAAACTGTTGGATGCCTAAATAGACAGTGGAGGGATAATTAGACGGCAAGAAGCGACTGTGAAGGTACAGATAAGGTTCAGAAGTCTGGAAGAAAGGGGCTTTACGTAGTCCAAGTAAAGAAACGAGGAACTACTTCTGTTTGGCACTGGTTTACATTTGTTCAGAAGATACGCTGCGTTTTAAGTTCAATCTTGAAGTAGGCTACAGCAGCCAGAACAGTCATTTGCCTGGCAGCTGCAGTAATCGTCTGTGTTCCTCCCCCTCAGGCAGAGAAGGGCATAAACCCAGGCTGTTCCATTGGATGGACAGTAATTTCCTCACCCTTTGACAGTTGCATAAAAAGTAGTTGCTTCCTTGACTCACTTGTTTGAGAGGGAATTATGACCTCTGTACTTTGAGGATAAGCACAGAAGGTGCTCTTTTCTCAGGAGATGCTTCTAGCCCTCTACAAACTGTTAGGGCCAGTAGGATCACCTCTTAATTTCTTTTCTTTTCTTTTTCTTTTAAATTTCTTTAAACCTGTAGGGACCACTCTCAGCTTGCAGGAGGAAGGATTCCTGTCTATGCTGTCACTTTTCAAGAGCCTGAAAAGGATCCTCGCAACTGTTGCTACTTGTGGGCTGTTCAGTCTACCCAAGAAAAGTGAATAAACACTTACTATAAGCCACTGATTATTTTTTTTTTTTTCAATATTTGTCCGCATACAGTTGATATATACGTGCATATATGTTTCGTTTGTTCAGCTGTGCAGACGATTCTCTCAGGTACGGAAGCCGTTAAGCTTATAATGCAACCTTGTCAGGATTTAGCAGAAGTGAAGAGGGACCTACTGGTTCCTGCCTCCCGAAAGGAGGCAAAGCAACAGCGGCTGTATTGTTGTGCTCGCTTTCTTAAACGCTTGCTTTGTTTCTTGATGACTGCTTCATGATTTCTTTGATATTCGCACCGTGGTATGAAACTGCCGCTGAAAGGAGCCGAGGCTGCAGACCTGGAACACTAAACGTGCCGCTACCGCAGCCTGCTGCCCCGGAAGGAGGGAGGTGACAGTATTGCCTGTCACCTCGTGCCAGCTTCAGCAGCCTCTGGAGCCTTCACGAGCCGGTTCAGCTCACCTGGCACAAAACGCTCACTGTTGAGCAGAGAGGGCGATGGTTTCCTGCCGGGCTAATGAATCAGATCAGAAGGTGGAAGGGTGCAGCGTATGCAAGAGAGGGACGGGAAGTTTGGTGGGGAGGGGAGGGGAGGGGAGAAAGAAAGACCTCTCTCTTTCAGCATCAGCAAGCTACTTGATCAGCCCAGCTGTCCAGAGAGTGTCAATCTTTTTGGGTGTGACTGTAAAGCAGTTTTGCTGGAGAACGCTTCACGGTGAAGAACCGTTTCCAACAAACGTTAGTCCATACAGCATATTAAAGCTTTCAGACTGCATGGTTGGCATTTGTCCCCAAAGCTGTTAGTGCCAGCATTTCCTCCTTTGTGTTTTAGCTGCTAAATGTGACCGGTTGTCATGTTTTGGGCAGTGGGTTTTTCTTTTCAGCAAGAGCATGCTATTAAGAAGGCTTTGGTCTAGCTCTGATGAGGTGATGACAAGGACTATAAAGCAGCTTTGTAATCACATGTCATAATTTGTACCTTTTTCAGTGAAGGTGACGCTGTGAGTTTACATCTGTTGCAGTTACTATTTCATGAGAGAAAACGCCTGGCATCAGGACAGGTCATGTACGAGGTAAGACGTGCACGTATGTCAAAAGCTGAAAACAGTAATTTCCTCTTCGTGAGTAGCAGTTGAGTTGGCTGGGCTAATACTTGCCGTCAAAACTCAGAGCTGACTAAAAAAAAAATGTTTTGCCGAGTCTTCTTGGGCGTGGCCTTTGTCCGTACTTCTTGAGAACAAGTCATACAACTTCACACTGCAGTGTCGTGTGTTCCAACTAGATTCGTCTGCAAAGAGCCCATATACATGCAACTCCCGAAGAGGCAGCAGCTTTTCCAAATAAAATTCTTCTTAACTGAAGATGTGAGTAGCACCAGATTTCACCTCAGAGAGCTGAGGTCCTTCAGCAGCCTTTAAGAATGGGTCTACTAGAAATTCTGCTTGGCACCGTTTTTAAAAAAGCACACCAAAGGATTGAATAATGTTGTTGTGTTTGTGACCTGAGAAAGCTGTGGTGTAATTACTGTAAGACTTCCTGACCCTCTGCAGACTGTCCAATCAGTAGTACATTCACAGGCTTCCAGCAGGTGTCAGGCACCAGTCTCTGGGTTTGAGATATTTTACTCCCTCTGCTTCCCTGTGCTGAGTGCTGTGGAAGATTGAAACAGGAACCAATCTCGGGAGGGAGTTGAAGAAGGAACTAAACAGCTGGAGCCTCCGGGGAGAAAAGATGGGTTCTTCAGCTCGCTTCCAGATGAGCCGTGTAGCTTCGTACTGAGACCTGATGATACCTACTGCCCCCCAAAACAACTCCCAAGCCCCCCTCCCCAAACCCCAAAGATGCATTAAGCCAGGCCCTGTGCTCGACGGTGGACACTTTCAGTCTCAGAATACTTCCTTGTAGTCAGAGATTGGTCAGTACCACATGGCTCTCTGCCTATATGACTGGCTGAGTCAAGATCCTTGTCCATCTTCCATGGCAGAAAGTGTAAGAGTTGTTCCCGATTGCCAGGCCAAGTTTGAGTAAACAAAGAGGAAGCTAGCGTTGACCCTCGTTCATTGAATAGAATTCAGAGGAAGTTGAAAGACTTGTGTCTACTACAGCAGTGCTTTACTTTCCAGGAATCAGACTTGAGGCTATGAGACAGTGCAACTGACTTCTTACCATGGTAAAAAGTCACAAATAGGAGTTTTGGAACATGTGGCACTGTAGTTTTGTAAATAAGCATCAGAGTTGTGTCTCCACTGCCTTCAGGGCTGGTTTAAGCCTGTGCTCAAGCAATTAATGTAACGGAATGTTGAAGTTATGCTTACAAAGATCATTTTTATGCCATCTCGGGAGTTGGTAAATCTAGTGCCCCCAGGCGTGGCCATGCAGCACATCTTGGCCCTTGTCCTACACAGTGCCTGCGGCTGGACAGAGTATAGAGGCTCTGCTTTCATATCCGAGTCTGACCAGCGCATCTCGTTTGAAAACTGTCCTTGTAGTTTACTGGTCCACAAAGTAATTACTTAACACCTTCCATACAGCGGAGTTGCTCAGCTTAGATTTGCTTGCCCCAGTGGAAAATGTAAAATACAGTGGTTTGCTTCAGAAGGTGTCTCAGGCAGGAACTGGTATCTTCTTTCCCTTCCCCTCTGCCCCAACTCTGTGGCTGTTCATAGATGAATAAGAGAGGAAATTGATAGCCGTTCAAATTAATCTCCAAAAGGCTTATGGAGTTTGAGGACTTTATCTGATGCAACGGTCTTTTGGAATGATGGACTTCTCATTCTGGACAACATCATTTATTATAAACTGGTTTTAGTGATCGTTCCTTCTGTAATGAAAACGGGATCGGTTGCTTGGGCTTCATGCTAGTTTTTCAAAGAGGTGGTTTTGGCTTCTCTACTCTGCACGTGTCTGGTGGTGTCTGTTATTGCAGAAGTTACTTGATAAAATAGAATGAACTGTGCGTGCTTCAGAGCATAATTCAGCATTTTTCTTTTCAGTAATGAAAGACCCTTTTTTTTTTTTTTTTTTAAAGCCAGCCTTGATACTTATTAGTAGTATTTCCTAGAACGGTTAAGAGGAGGTTTGTCTCTTCTCAGATTAGGTGATTTAGATGTATCATATCAAATCCTATGGGAGTGTACTGTGTCGTACCAGTTCATTTTAGAGCTCTGAAAGTTTAGGAAACTTCGGTAGAGTGTGGTACAATTGATTGTTGTGTTGGTTTTTCCTTGGTGGTAGTATTTTGTGTGTTAGGTGGGAGGGGGTGTTGGTGAGTTGTTTTTTTGTTTTTGTTTTTGTTTTTGTTTTAAATTGTAGAGCTGCTATTTGTCAATACACACAATGATGTGTTGCATGGTAGACAGCCTGAACAAATTCTGTATTTGGAAAGACAGTATTTCAATTAATGCTTCCCTAGGAAAAGGTGGTATCAGAGGTTCAGCACAATCCTGCTGGGGTTTCGGTATATCTCAAAGTAGTTTGCTGGCTCTGTAGTAATTCATGATCCTAAACGCCTTGGCCGCGTGCCTCCCACATCCTCTCTGCTTCCCCTTTTGCTGGTGGCCGTGCTTGATGAAGGAACCGGGGGATATTTCACCCATTAGTGTGACAAGATTAGAGGAGGAGCTGGTAAAAGCTTATGTGGTTTGAAAGGAGACGGTTACTCGGTAAGAAGTCCTCACAGCTACTACAGAGGGATGCGTTTTCGCTCTGGTGGTGTGCCTGTAGATAACACCTCTTGACAGAGCTTCAGCTGCTGTAGTGCCAAGACTTCTCTAACATCCTCAGTCCTGTAATCAAGAGCAAAGAGCTTTGCATGCGTATGTATCGCCTGATTTCAGATACCTCTTTGTAGATCTGTCCTCCGGTTTGTAAAGAAACCCTGGTGTTGCAAGGATTTCTGCAAAACATGATTAGAACTGAATAATGATAGGGGAATGCTAAATTTTGAAAACGTGCAAAGCCTTTACAGCCAAAGATACCCCTTAGGATTTGACGCTTGATTCTCTTGCGTGCCAGACGTTGTTTCTGTTTGCCATCAGAAAGAAGCTCATGGGAAATACACAGTATAAGGTGCATATTATGTTACATTCTGGTACATAGATTCTTTCATATTTAGGAATAAGGCATGTTTTTACGCCAAAGTGACCTTTTGTCTCTCCTTTTTTCCCCAGGGTTTGGAATACTGTGACGAAAGGTTCAGTTTAGATCTCACGTGTGGAGTCTTTCCCTGGAGAGGGCCGACCGGCAATACCAAATTTCTGAGCTGCCAGACTGTAGAAAAATTTCCCAAGCCGGTTGACGGAGAGGATAGCGTTAATGAAGGTTTGTTCTGATGTCCGTGCTTGGTTATTCTAAAAAAGTAGTTTGGGAATCTAAGCAGTGAATGTTGTTCTGTACCCACAGAAAGTCAGAAAGTCTTGAGTATCTGTAGAGACGAGCTTGTTGGGCTTATTTAAATAGACAAAAGGGTTGCTTGAGTTTTGTGGGACTTCCTTAAGGGGGAAATTGGGGTTTATTTTGTGCTTGCTGACATGCTATAGCACTGTATAGTAGGGCCATCTCTGCAACGTTTGTCAGTCATTTTATTCCTCCAGCTGTCTTCTTGGAAAAAGAAGATCATTCTCTGCGTTGCTTAGGAATGTGATCTGAATATTTTTTTTTTCCCTGTTCACACCTATGTCTGTATCTGCACCCAGCTGGCGGCCACTCACAAGTGGTGTTCCCCAGGCCTCAGCATTGGGGCCAGTTCTGTTTAAGATCTGTATCAGCGATCTGGATGAGGGGATCGAGTGCACTTGGGTCACAACAACCCCACGCAACGCTACAGGCTTGGGGCAGAGTGGCTGGAGAGCTGCCCAGCGGGAAAGGACCTGGGGGTGTCGGTCGGCAGCCGGCTGAATGTGAGCCAGAGGTGTGCCCAGGTGGCCAAGGCGGCCAAGAGCATCCTGGCTTGTATCAGCAATAGTGTGGCCAGCAGGACTGGGGCAGTGACCGTCCCCCGGTACGCAGCCCCGGTGAGGCCGCACCTTGAAGTTGAAGGTTCTGGAGAACAAGTCTTAGGAGGAGCGACTGAGGGAGCAGGGGTTGTTTAGCCAGGAGAAAAGGAGGCTGAGGGGAGAGCTTGTCGCTCTCTACAGCTACTTGAAAGGAGGTGGGAGCAGGGTCGGGGTTGGTCTCTTCTCCCAGGTGTCATGGATGGGTATACTAACACGGTAACAGTTTGGCAGCAAATTGAGATTTATTAATGAGTAGCAGCACTTAATCATTAACCACCTTGAATGATTTACAAAATAATTCAGTAAAATACGTTATGATTAAAATAGTGACTTAACTGTACAGATTCAAAAATGACAAGAATCGCAATGACTTACTGTGTGGTATCCTAAATCTATCTCTCCATCTCTCTATCTCTCTATCTCTCTCTATCTCTCTCTCTCTATCTGTATACCTATCTGTCTGTCTATCTGTCTGTCTGTCTATCGATCTATCTACGTATCTATCTATCTATCTAAGTACATATGTTTATTCATAAACACAAGATGTACAAACACACAGACAGACAAAAATATTTGGATCCAGTGAAATATGTATGTACCCACACTCGTAAAAACAGCTGTGTATACCCAAACACATAGATAAGTAGAGAGGCGGGTGAAGAAAAGCTAGCCTACGGTTAAAATTTCCCTCTTCTCAAGCTTAGAGCAAATACTTGCAAAGCATCATCATTCCTCAACAGCCAATAACTGAGACCCGAGGGGGGCGACTTTGCCCAGCCCATCATTGGCTTCGACAGCAGACGGTGCCTCGAGGAGTTGATAGCTGAGAGGCGTCCCAACTCAGGGGAGATGCTGGTCACAGGCCCACTGCGATCCAGGAGAAGAGCTCAGAGGGTCTCACCTGGGGTCACTGTTTATGGGCTCCAGGATAACTGACTTTCGTTAGGGACTTTTCCACTCTGGCCCAGCTCCCATGATGAGCTATTTGGGTGTTTTCCACCAGTTGCGCAGGCCCAGAACTTGCTGGATGCGCAGTGCTGTTATTGCCCTCCCTCGGCCACTTGCCAGGTACAGAGGTACTAGTCTGTCAGGAGGTGATGGACTGTTACTCCTGCTCCCAGGTGATAGGGAGAGCAGGATCCAGGATGCAGCGGTAGCTTTCCTTGACCATGTACACAGTTAAAACTCTTATGGTGTCTTTCATTATCTTGCAGTAATTAAATATACCTCTCTGGGTTTACAAATCCAGTTACGCTCTGACCATATCTTCGAGCCTGCTGCAGTGATAACTTGCATAGCCGTTTGTTTTGACTGCGTTAGTCACCTTCCCCCGCTTCTTACGGGCCTTGACTTCTGTCTGGTGTCACAAAGACACTTGCATGACCTTTCTAGGCTATTTCTGCTGATTGTCTTTGACTTAGTCCTGAAGCGGCAACTTCCGTGTCTTTTGTGATGCCATCCTCGAGCAACGGTGTGTCAAAATCTAATCAAAGCACCTTTGGATTTTCTCCACTTGTGCCATGTTTCTGAGAGGAGTGCCTTCTAAAAACCTGTTGGAAACAAAAAAGAACACCACTCCCCCAACACCCCCAAGAAAACCAAAAAAAACCCAAACGGCAACAAAAAAACCCCTTTCTGCCTCCTTTTTCTGAAGTATGAGGCATGGAAAAAATACCTGTAACTTTTGTTTCTGTATTTGTTTTGTGTGATAATTGTGTTCTTTCGGTGCGGACATGCAGGAGAGGAGCTGTTCTGAAAATGTGTGGTTGAGACAAAGCTGGAAATTAGTAATGCTGGCTAAGTGATACAAGTGTATACGATGACTATTTGTGTGCTTTCTAAAAGAAGCAGTGTCTGTGTTCCTAGCATATTTTTTTTTTGCTCAGCTGTTCATCTAGCTAAATGTCTTGTTCAACTCTTAATGCGTGGCAAACTTAATAAGCTACTAATTATGTATCTGATTTGGCTTGGAACGGATACAATCCGAACAAGAAAAAGGGGCAGGATGCCTGGAACCTGTCACAGAGGTGTTTGCTACTCCGTGAATTGTTTTTCTTATTCTTAGTCAGTGTTGTTTTTGCATGAGTGGTAGAACAGAATTAAACCAAACTAGGAAGCGGTGCTTTAAAAATATCGGATACGGCATGTTTTCTACAAATAAGAAACAACGTCTTGTCTTTTACAGTAATATCTCCTGAGACCAGTGTATCAGTCTTCAGCTGGCAAGTGAATACGTATGGTGAGGGAAAGCCATCTACTTACTTGGGTGTATTTGACATTAACCGCTGGTATCACGCTCAAATGCCAGATTCACTGAGGTAGATTTTTCTTAGCTTCTTTTCAGTGTCCCCCCAGATAATTCATCTGAAAGTTGGCATTTAGCTTATGCACTTGTTTTCTTTAAGGCCGGAAGAACTCCTTCACGACTGCCCCTATTTTGCGCTGTGGTCACTGGATACTGGACTAAGTATGACTTCTCCAAGCCTCGTTTTGGATATTCGAGTACGTGAGCAGAGTCTCTGTCGCGGAGTGCCTCCTTCCTATCCACCACCTGATCAGTTTTTTAATCCAAGCTCCTATAATTTTGGTAGGTATTTCACTGCTTTTTATAGTGATAAGCTCAAACTGAGGTCAGATGACATGAAATAGTTCTCTTGTTCTCTGTCACTCGAAAACCAAACCCAAACCCCCAAACCCCCAGCTCCCACAAACCCAACTCAAATTACGTTGCACTAAGGTGGGATTTAAAATTGTGAAACACATCCGAGAGTGTGCTGAGTTTTGGGGTTTGGTGCTTTTATGATAGAGCCTGCGAAGAGGTGATGGTTATAAAATGAAATGACTTTGAACTGAAGCTCAAAGCACAGCACCTCGATTGCGCTAGAGATGAAAGTTCTAGACGCAGTAATTATTTTTTTAAAAAGTCTGTAAGTGATCTGGTGAGGAAGATGGGCACTGAGATCTGTCTTTCCAGATACTGCTGTTTAAAAACTGTAAACTGGTCATAACGTAACTGTGAGCGTATGGAAGCTTGTCAAATGTTGGTTGTTTCTGCAGATGGTACGTGCTTGCTGAACTCCGGAGTTGTCCATATGACTTGCACCAGCTTCCAGAAGGAGGTGATCATTTACCGAATCTTTATTGAGAATGTGAAGAGATGGACCTTTTCCAAGTTTTCTCCTGCACTGCTTTCACTGTCAGAGATGGGTTTATGCTCGTCCTGCCCATCCACACGCATAATTGCAGTTGTACCCTGCCAGTTTTATGCAAATGAGAATGTTTTCAGTCTGCTCTTGGAACTGTAAAGTGAGCACTGCCTCCTGATGAAGCGCGATCCGAGACTGAACGTCTAGAAGGGAATACAACGTTGCTCTAGGAGCAAGAACAAAAGCGTTCCTAAGAAGAAAGCTGTTTCTTCTCTATTACCCTTCAGTCGCACTGCCTGTGTAGTCTTGAGTTAGGGTTTTGATCCCTGGTCTGCTTGAAAAAGGAGGACAGAATGGAGAAAGTGAAAAACTGTGTTTGAGAAGTATTTGAGAAGAAATTTTTTTTTTTTTTTTCCCGACCCTGGCCAAATTCTAACTTCCAAGCCAGGGCACAGCTTGTGGCAAATAATTTTGAATTAAGTTTCAGCTCACTACGTATTGCCAACATAAATCAGCCTCTGCACAGAGAGGCTTATAAAGGCTCATGCAAAGCGTGATTTGAAGTTGTGTGTTAGTTTTAGCTTGTACAGAAAGTAATTTGTGTCAGTGTTCAGGGAAAAAGAAAGGCCCGTGTTTTGACAGAGAAGGGAGAAAATACTTAAGCATTGCAAGGGCCAATATTTTGTTTTACAGGATTTTTTTTTAGAAACTGTAACTGCTAGTTTGGCTGCCGTCCTTACGACTCTACGTAGTAATGCTTACTCGGATTGCTAACGCAAAGCATATTGCTGATGTGAGCTTCCCGAGAGTCTAAGTGAACAATTATCCTATTTCTCTTAGTGGTTAGCCAGACCCTTAGTGACTGAATAATACTGCTGTCTTAATCTGTAGTTTTTGATTGACGTTTCAGACCTTGAATTTTTTGAAGAAATCTGGTCCTTTAATACGTGAAGCCATTCATGATAGCTGCAAGAGGTGTCTTGCAGCTGGCTGTCTGTCTCCCAGGCCAGCTGATGTCCAGCCACCCAGTTTGGGTCAGGTGTCTGCCTATGAGGGAATCAAGGGGGAAATACATCCATCTTGCCTGACAGGGCTGTAGAGGCTACAAGACGTGGTAACCTGATGTTCCCATTATTTGCGAGTTGCACTGAGCTGCAGGTGTTGGCTTTAGTCAGCAGAAGTGATAGTACTCTTAGATCCAAACTAGGGAGTTTGACGGGGAACAGCCCTGATAGGCCTGTCTCTAGAGACCCGTCTATAAATTCTGTGCCACAGATACGCGCAAGGAAGCGTGCAGGCCGTGCTGGTCATGCGCAACACAAAGCATCTTTGCCTCAGACCCCCCGTGGCCCCCGTCGGTGTCTCCGAGCGTTGGGCTCAGTGCAGCAGCTGACGACGGGGGGGTCTCACTGGGATGCGAGCTGTTGCAAACATCAGCTGGCTGCACCAGACATGATCACCTGCTCCCAAGGAAGTGGGCTGTGGTAAACAATTACTGCTGCCAGCTCCAGTACAGCCGGCACGTCGTCCCGTAACTTCATGAATGACTTGCTGCTGTTCTGTGCAGTGCACTCGCTGTAATTAGTTAACTGCTTTACGCTTTTTATTCATCAGAATGATCGCCATCCTCGCTTCAGAGAGGGGGCATGTGCCAGAAAGTCTGAATTACGCCCATATCGGAAGATCCTTCCTAGAGTTCAAAGGCAGCTGGCTGCAGAGAGAGCCAGGCCTTACCATTTGCCTTCGTCGGCCTTAAGAGGAGGTAATTTTTAGCGCGGGGAATACAGCGGTCAAGAAACGCTCACTTTGATAACACAAGGCTGATAGGTTTTCCCTTGTGCTTTACAGTTGCGAGACCAAAGCCAGTATCAAGAGCAAGAAAACCAGCCAATTCAGGATATCTGGATATCATAGCAACTTTCATGAGTAATGTGTTATCCAGAATTGGAGCAGCATGGGCAGGAAATGAGCAGAAAACCTTTTCCTCACGATATGATAGGTAAGCAGCCTTTTCACAAAGTTCAGTTTTGAGCTACGTGTGTGGAGAGGAATAGCGAAAAATCCATTTGGATTATGTTAGTATTCTGGAAGGAAGGTGTACCTGAATAAACTTTGATTGGCTTTTTTGTAATCAGTTCATCCAAAGTAATATTTGGAGAGAGAGTTTTTCGGCTATGATAATCTTATTTAGGCCAAGACCTATACTGACACGATGGTAAATGTGTTTTCAAGAATTTAAGACAGCTGAAACTAGAACTGTGGTTGCCACCAAGCTCTCGGTGTACTGCTTTTGAGACACTTGGTTATGTGGCCAAACAGGGATCTTTGACCGCTTCCTGCCCAGTGTCTGCTTCGTTTCTGCCTTTCCTTCTTAACATCGGGCGGAATTGTAACGAGCGGAAAAGAGGCTGGTGGTTGTCAGATGATTTTCCTTCAGGGGCGATGGTCAAATAAACCTGAATTCCGGTATGTTTGGACTTCAGGGGAGTGAAAGTCAGTTACCTTTCCCTGTTTGTTCTAGTGCTAGAGTTGCAGAGCCACCAGCCGTACCTCGTCCTCTCCCTGAGGCAGAGTTGCGCAGTGCGGTTGTTGGGACACTGGTCACAAGATTTTCACAAAAATCTTCCAGGTATAGTAGATCTAGAGAGTGAATATTTCAAAATGGTGTTGCTTTTCTTATGTCTGTGTATATGTATGTGTGTGTGTGCGTGTGTGTATATACTTTCTGTGTTTGCAAAGTGCTCTGTTTGCATTTAGTTTTGTATCTGGTAAAGAAAAGGGCAATTTAAGGACACAACTCGGTGGAGAATTTGAAGTGGTCCCAGCATTGAAATGCAGGTGAATTTCTCTTTGACGTGAGAATTACATCCCTTGGTCAACTTAAAATGGGATTTCTCTTCCCTAAGAGGCAGTGATTTAGGAAATCAAGCTTGAAATGTACAGAAGTAACTAAGAAAAAAGGAAAAGGCGGTAACTTGTGCGTGGACCTGATACATCCCCCCAACAGTGAGGGCTCACCTCTATTTCTCGTTCCTTGAATGTCTTTCTTACATCTCATCTCAAGATTTCTTGAACGCCGCGTGATTTTCTTCCTTAGTTTATTTATGTTCATATTTTAAATTGGGTATCTTAACAGGTTGCTGGGTTTGGTGGATCGTCCTGTCCCTTCATGTTCTGCAGCACAGGGTGGTAGCTGGCAGTCACCATTGTTACAAAAGAATTCTTCAAGAGCACCAGAGTTCAATTTGCTACAGACTCCTCTTGTGGTTAAGGTTTGTATTTGGAAAAACAGTAAGAACCGACCAAACAAATGGCCTGTAAACTTTGTTTAAAATGAAACCACCAAAATGTTTGACACAAACACTGCTGGATTCAAACTGTGTCAAATTTTCAGAGCATGTGGGGTGGTTGTACATACAGTCCTTTTGGAAGCAGGAAGTTGGGAAAAGCCTTGAAGAGGGCAAGTTTAGTTCTAAGCTAATTGCAGTAGGCACGTTGTCCCATAACTTCATGAACTGTGCAGAACAAAGGAAGTTAAAATTGGGCTTTTCAATATGCTTAGACCCTTAAAGATGCAGTTTGTGGCTTAACCATCTCGTTATGCAAGCGCTCAGCAGCTCTGCACAGTTTGACTTGCATAGCCACCAGCAAGAACGTGCATGCTTCAGTTTCTTAATCCGGTGAAGTGAGTGACAGCTAAGTGATGTCCGTTAAGGGATGTCAGTCTCTGTCCAACTCAGTGATGGCTTTTGGCAGCAATTGTACTGGTTAATTGTTTGCGTTAAACTGTGTGTCCATTCAGTGCCTTCAAACTCTTCTCCTGTAAGGAAGTAACAACATTTGACCTGTCTTCTTGGTGCGGGTCTCTTTGCCTTTGCCTGCCTGAACAAAGTAGTTGTGATCTCTCTGAATGACAGCCTTTTTCTTCTCATTGAATATCGTCCCTCTCATTGAGCTAGTTTCCTTCTCCCCCTTTCAAACCCTTTCCATACTGTAAATTCTTCTTCCGAGCCGAGGTAAGAAGACCTGGATGCTTCTAGGTGAAGATGTGTAGGTATTTGTACAGCAGCCCCTTAATTTGGTGTAGCGCGCGGATGGATTCATCAGTGAAGCAATAAGCTCTCGCTGTTGCTTTGCTGATTGCCATTTTGCATGGCAGTGTGTTCAGTGGCAGTAGCTGGGGTAACATTTGAAGTGGTACGCCTTTTAGAGAGCAGAGTAGGAATTGCAAAAATTACTGGGAAGGGAGAGAACAATGCAGAAATCAAGACGCCATATCCTTGTTTCCTCAGGAAATTAATTTGAAAAATCACATTTTAGTTGGTGTTGGTGGGAAAAACCAACCAACCAACCAACCAACCAACATACCAAAAGAAAACCAAAAATCCACAAGATCCTGGGGGGTTTTATCGTTAAGATTTTCATACCTTTGGAGAAAGAGCAGTGCAGAGGTTAACTTTGTCCTCCCTGCCTCTGCAACCTCAGTCTGTAATTGAAACTAATGCTTTGGAGAAGTGGAGTCTTCCGTTTTGAAGGTACGAATTGGTTTTCAATTAAATATTTTTCTTTCTTTTCATAGAAAGCTGAAGTTTTGGCCACATCTGCTTCTGGTTTTCCCGGCTTTACTCCTCAGTCTATTCTCAGATCCAGCGTTCGCAGCACACCCCAGGCAACTCCCTCTGCGTTTCCAGGAGAATCAGTTACTCCTCCTCCCAGAGCAAACAAACACAGAGTGTCTTTCAAGGAAGGGAACTCAGATGAGAAATGGACTGTTGGGGTAAGCTGGGCTGTAGTTAGTGGATTTTACAGTCAAAGGCTTTCTAGTCTGTTATTTGGTTTAGAATTTTGGACAGTTTGCCAGAACTCCTTATATTGAGACCTGGACCTGCGATCAAGAATGGCAGGCTTGAATTTGGTCCAAAAAGGTTCCGCTAGACCTTCTGTAACATCACCCGTCGGCAGGCAGATATTCAAAATGCATGTCGGTGTCCTTGGCGGTTTCGCTCAAGCGTTGTTAGGAGCTGTGGTTGTTCCAAATTGCTAGCTCAGCTTCCCGCGATGCCTTTTCAAGCGGTGGTATGGCAGGAAGGTGAGGAATACAGCTCGAGCCATTGTTTGGGCTTGTTAAGGTTTGTGCATCTGAAAGCAGCAGAAGTCATGAGCTGCATTTACTTTTGATCTCTCTTTCTGCGAGGCTGAGTTTGCTTAACTTACGGTAAAAACAGACTCGGGATGAAGAGAGCTGGTCTGTCGCCTGTTCTCTAGCCCCAAAGTTCTGGGGTTTGCTTCTTGCCTCGCACCGGGCGTAGCATTCATACTGCTGTCAAACGAAGTTGGTCCACCTGCTAGTTGCCCCCTTCTACTCGGCCTTTGGTCCCGTCGGTTGGATTCCCTGACCCAGCTCGTTAGGCAGTTGCGGAAGGACCGTGCCAAGACCAGGGGCAGAACAGGGCCGTGTGCTCGTGTCTACATGTCGGAGCTGTCCGCAGGGTACAAACAAGTTGTCAGGATCTGGTTTTGTTACACCTCTTACTGCCTGTTGTAAGGGGTTCCTCAAAGGTAACAAGAGGCGTATCGGAATAAGGTTCTGCTGAGTGCCAGAACTGTTTTAACTGACAGTTGTCGGTTCTGTTACTGATCTAGTCTGCCTTCCACTTTGCTAAAATTACCGGGTGAAGTTGGCGTGTGCTGATGGGTAGAACTTGCTGCTGTTCTGTGCAGTGCACTCGCTGTAATTAGTTAACTGCTTTACGCTTTTTATTCATCAGAATGATCGCCATCCTCGCTTCAGAGAGGGGGCATGTGCCAGAAAGTCTGAATTACGCCCATATCGGAAGATCCTTCCTAGAGTTCAAAGGCAGCTGGCTGCAGAGAGAGCCAGGCCTTACCATTTGCCTTCGTCGGCCTTAAGAGGAGGTAATTTTTAGCGCGGGGAATACAGCGGTCAAGAAACGCTCACTTTGATAACACAAGGCTGATAGGTTTTCCCTTGTGCTTTACAGTTGCGAGACCAAAGCCAGTATCAAGAGCAAGAAAACCAGCCAATTCAGGATATCTGGATATCATAGCAACTTTCATGAGTAATGTGTTATCCAGAATTGGAGCAGCATGGGCAGGAAATGAGCAGAAAACCTTTTCCTCACGATATGATAGGTAAGCAGCCTTTTCACAAAGTTCAGTTTTGAGCTACGTGTGTGGAGAGGAATAGCGAAAAATCCATTTGGATTATGTTAGTATTCTGGAAGGAAGGTGTACCTGAATAAACTTTGATTGGCTTTTTTGTAATCAGTTCATCCAAAGTAATATTTGGAGAGAGACTTTTTCGGCTATGATAATCTTATTTAGGCCAAGACCTATACTGACACGATGGTAAATGTGTTTTCAAGAATTTAAGACAGCTGAAACTAGAACTGTGGTTGCCACCAAGCTCTCGGTGTACTGCTTTTGAGACACTTGGTTATGTGGCCAAACAGGGATCTTTGACCGCTTCCTGCCCAGTGTCTGCTTCGTTTCTGCCTTTCCTTCTTAACATCGGGCGGAATTGTAACGAGCGGAAAAGAGGCTGGTGGTTGTCAGATGATTTTCCTTCAGGGGCGATGGTCAAATAAACCTGAATTCCGGTATGTTTGGACTTCAGGGGAGTGAAAGTCAGTTACCTTTCCCTGTTTGTTCTAGTGCTAGAGTTGCAGAGCCACCAGCCGTACCTCGTCCTCTCCCTGAGGCAGAGTTGCAGTGTGGTTTTTGGGACACTAGGGACACAAATATCAGTATATGTTGGGGGGGTTTTTTGTCTTCCCTTTACAAAAACCACCTGCATGTTATTGACTGTGAGGTTTTGTTGGCTTTTTTTTTTGTATTTTAATAAAGGTAACCAACGATGATATAGCACTGCCTGGGGATTCATGGGAGCATCATCATGGAATGGCGGAGGATGCATCGTCTGAGACTAGAGATAAGGCAACTGTGCTTACTCTGAGCAATCCTGAGGAGGATCGTGCTGAAGTGGAAGCGTTTTCAAAAAGCATACCTGGAGATGGTTTGGAGAAAATGGATGTCAGCAAAGAAAACAGCAACTTCTCTGCCCGTTCAGACCAAACTACTTTGGAGTATCACGATGCAAAATCACCTGGCGGTTTTTCATCTGTTCCCATGTGCCGAATCGCAAATAGCTTAGCTGTTGATTTCTGGTGGCGAAAAAACAAGCTACAGGCAGCAGCCAGCCCGTGTTTTCTCATGAGTTGATAGGCAGTGCTTTTCACCTCTTAGTCTAGGCCAATCTGAAAATACTATGAAATTGTAGACTCTCAAGTAAGAAGGTAGCAGTTTTTTCTTATTTTGTTGGTACTTTTGTCTTCTGTGCAAAACTTGCAGGTTTCCAATCCAGGAATGCTTTTTTTTTTCTCGGCAAAGTAGTCCAGGTAACGAGTCTCTTGGATGTGCTTGGAGATAAATGTTCTGTGGTTCCTGTTGAATTCAAGCCGTTCCTAAAATAAAATGTGTTTTTCAAAGCCCTCTGCCGTGTGGATGACCAGTATGCGAGGGAGAGGGAAAAATGCAAGTTACAGTTACCGACGTGTCCGTTGGTTCAGGTCGCTTCCTCCTTGGCTGTGTATCCCCTGGCATAGTTTAAGAGCAGGCTTATCCCACAGCAGTCCTTGCTGTGGTGTGCCTTGCTGTTCAACTTGGCTTAAATGCAGACAAAAGCAGGAGCTATCGCTGGGTGACCGATCGCTTGCCTTTTGGTGCTACAACCGTATTTTCAGTACACAGAGAAGGGTGCAGGGAAGTAGTGTGTGATTTCTGTGAGCACCAACAGCACAAGCATATGTGGCCCTCAGAATCCAGGGCGCTGGAAGGCCTTTACGTTTCATCTAGCCTAGTGGTCTCGTAGTGGCTTCCGAAAGGGCGAGAACGGTATGCTCGTCTCAGCCGGATCCAACAGCTATGCAGGCCAGGTAAGATTTTACTCAAAGAACCAACTACAAGCAGTTGTAGCTAATACACGGTCGTAGACTGCTCATTTAGTTTATCTCCCATTATTAACGTTCATGTAAGCGTACTGCAGGTGACTGGCACGGGTCGGTTTACTGGTTGGAAGCCTTACCTAGCTTTTGCCTACGCTCCCGTCATCCCGGAACTCGGTATTACTTTCAAGCACGTTTGCAAATCTTGATTCAACCTGTTAGTGGGGGCACGCGTCCCGGGCAGCAGTGCTTGTGTATGCGTTTGCTTGCTCATCTGTGAAGAGGATGCACTCGATCGTTGTTTAGAGCGAGGTGTTGTGTGATCTGGCCCAAGGAGCACTGGAGAACGCCTGGCAAGGTTATAACGCTGCTCTGCTGGCGTACGGGCAGGCCGGCTCGGGAAGAGCTGTTGGACGATCGGCTGCGCTGCAAACAGAGGCCCGGTGCCCGTTGTGTGCAAAGAGCTCTTCAAAGCCACCCAGCATTGGGAAAAGTACAAGCAGTGCCAGGTGGGATTAGCGCAAAGTGTCACTTCTTTCCAAGACCTTTCCAGGCGGTACTTTAAAAGGCTGGGTTACTCTCAAATCGGAAAAATGGGAACCGTGACTCTGGAGCAGCTTCCGGTACAAGACAGAGTGGATCCTCTAAAATACTGTGGGAAACAAAGTTGAGGTAGTACAGCTGGATTTACAGATGGGTATGCATGAGAAAGTCTTTCCAGCACCTCGGTAAGGAAAATTAATGCCGCCTTCTATACAGCTTCATAGGGTACAGAAGCTTTACAGTGCCGCGCCTCTCCGCTACAGCAGAGGCCAAGTTTTCAGCCATGCAGTACAGCTTTTGTAGCTGCTGGATGCTCCCACTCCATCAGCATCCTGCGCTGGTTGTCCAGCGGATTCGAGCACTGCTGGAAGCAGAAAGCTTCACGCCCGTGCAGCAGGGCCGTCTGTCTGTGAGAGTACTGCCCTGGTTACTGAGGGCTGCTTGCGATTTACTCCTGTGTTCCTTCCCCTTCAGAAAGTGCTTTGTCCTCCCAAACCAGCCTCCCCCGCTGTGTGCCAGCAGGAACGACGCAGGGATGCCGTTTGTGAACGTGTTTCTGTGGAAACTCATTCCTTCCCATCTCGCTTGCCGTACCAATGTGGAAATGAAATCCCTATCTGTAGTCGAGTGTTGGAGAATGGCTCAGAGACAAGGGTCCTGAGCCCACCGAGCAATTGTACGATCAGAGCCTGCTCTAGCTGCTGATGCTGGGCCTCACTAGGGTTTGCTTGCAGCTGCTCGCAGCTGCTGATACCTGAGGAATGTCAAGGACACTTCAGCCTTGTGTACCGTGGTGTGTCGAAAACAGGTTGAGAGGAATTAGGAATAGTGGTCTAAGAAACCTAGTGTTATGATAACGGTGGTCTGAGAAACATTGTGTTACGGTACTGTTGTGTATCGAAAACAAGTAAACAGGAATCAGAAATAGTAGCGTGAGAAACTTAGTGTTATGAGAAACTTGTGCTGTAAGCTAACTGCAAGTAGGTGGACCGTGAGAATACGACCCTTAGAGCTTAAGCCAATCAGCTAGTGACTAGTAGGCATAATTAGTAGAAGGATTATAAAAGGCTGTAATGAAAATCAATAAACTGAAGCACACTTTATCACTCATACTGAGTCGGCTACGTTCTTCCTCCTTGGCCTGAGTCCTCGGCTCGCCCAGCCCGGCAGTCGAGTTACTCCTATTACGCACAGTTCTTGGACAGAGGAAAAAAAGCATGTCGTGGCTCTTTATTTTTACGTTTGATTTTGAACCATAGCCTTGCTGCTACTGACTGACCAGATTTTGTTTTGAAGTCAGCAGATTGAGGCCTCCTCTCCGGCTTGTTGCGATTCAAGCTCGCGAGTGACACCGCGGGCGTGCTGTCACTCCGGGGGTTCCCACGCACGCCCTTCGTTTACAGAGCCCCAGGAGGTCAGCATGGCCTCAAGCCCAGCTATCTTCTGTGCCCCCACCCTGGGCTCCCTCCCTCACCGCTGGCTGAGACACCCGGTCTTCCCAGAGACGGGTTTTCCTCCTGCTCACTGGCTAGCCCACCCTCGAGTCTGCCAGCAGTTTAGTCCCCGCTGTACTAAAAAGATGTGGGCAGGCTGGAGAGGGTCCAGAAAAGGGCCACAAAGATGATCAAAGGACTGGGAAGCCTGCCAAGTGAGGAAGGGCCGAGAGAAGGGACTGACAAGTACAAATGCAAAATACCAAAGGTGTTAATTTTCAGATACATTCCTTGAGGATTTCAACGGGTGGCTTTAACTACTTGACCGGAATCGGGCGGGTTGGTCTTCCTCTGCTCGGTACTTTTACTGAAGGAAAGGGCGGTGACTGTGACTTCTCGGCAGTTTTCAGTCTTCTGCTGGACCTTTGCTTAAGTCCTCTTGCGTTTCTCTTCCAGGGAGCCATGGCCTGGCGTGGCAGGCGTGTGGTCCTCAACTCCAGGCGGTGAGCTCTGTGACAGGAGCGCGGCTCTCTGCGTACCGTTTCCAGGGAGCAAATAAACAGCCTCCCACTGTGCGTGTGGTAAAGGAGTTTTCCTGGCAGAAGAGAACTGGGCTGCTGGTTGGCTTGGAAGAAGCAGAGGGAAGCGTTCTCTGTCTGTACGACCTGTGGATTTGTGGTCAGTCCAGAAAGTTCTGCAGCGTGACGATTGCTGCCGGTCGTGTGTGCAGCTTGTGTTGTGAAACTGCTCACGTTGTTCACGGGTGGTGGCAAATCGTTATCCAGGAACAGAAAGAGCAGAAATGGAGCGTGTCATTGCATAAATGGAATAGTCTGTTCTCTGTCCCTTAAACGCATGAACTGTTATCTGTGGCAGGGAGTAGATTGTATGTTTCCCACTTTACACGTGGTGGTGGTCTGAAAGGAAAAGCAGCATTTCACTGTCCTCAGTTTCACGAAGCTCAGCTTGAAGTTAGTCTGTCTGGTAATTAAGAATGCATTAACAGACATTTTTTACCTTCAGGTTATTGAAGATAGTGTGGGTACGGCAGAAACCTCAGAAGCAGCTCCTGAAACATCGCCGTGTAGTGAGCTCCATCCACCAGGCAATCTTCAACACAGCTGTGCTGCTTCAGAGCAACAGATTGAACGTGAATTGCCAGCTAGTGACGATGGTGAATGTGATGCAGCTGAGGGACACCGAGAGCTCTTTATATCTCAGAGTCATTTTCAGAGCTTCAAAAACCTGGGAAACTGTTTTGTGAAACTGCTTAACAGCCTTCTCCTCACGTATCTTTTTCTGTTTTACTGATCACTTCTGAAATCAAACCCGAAAGTTTGCCCTGTCACTTCAAGGCTCTTAGAACAAGTTAACCTTGAGACTCAGTGAGTGCTGGGACATGTTCTTTTTTCAGTAACATAGGAACGAATCGGTAAAGCTGAACTTGTCTTCCATTCCACTAGACGAGCAGCTATCTGTTCATATCATACTGACGTGCTAAATACATCTTTTCAGGGTTTAAGAAGCGGTTAACAACCACGCAGCCGCTCGGCCTCCCTCCCCCACCTGGGAATGGGGGAGGGAATTGGAGGGGCAAAGGGAGACTTGCAGGTTGAGATAGAAACAGTTTACTAATGGTAATAAAATAAAACGGTGACAGTAATAGAAATTAGAAACGGGCAATGCACTGTGCAGTTGCTCACCACCCGCTGACCGACACCCAGCCCGTTCCCGGCTAGCGATCCCGAAATACTAAGACCCCGCGATTGCAATCCCGGAAGCGAGAGAGAGCCCCTTCCCGCCCACCCCTCCTTTACATAGCGAGCGTGATGTTACATGACGTGGAATAGCCCGTTGGCCAGTCCGGGCCCGGTGCTTCAGCCGTGTCCCATCCCTGCTTCTTTTGTGCCTGCGCAAAGGCAGGACATAGGGATTTGGAGAGTCCTTGAAAGCTCAGTGTGCTGGCAGCATTCTTCTCGCTCCCGAAAAGGAACATGAACTCAATTCCAGCCCGAACCAGGACAAAGGTCACTAGATTCCAGAAGGCAAAGGCTCCCTTAATCACCTGTGACGGGAGTGGAAGATGAAACCAGGAGGCATCAAGTAGAGTATGGCATCACTGCTAGAACACACACAAGGGGACAACTGAGTGGAAGTCCAGGCATTCCCTCGGAAGGCACTCATCAACTGCTGCAGACAGACAGACCGGTTCTGTTTGAATGTCTCCTGGGAGAAGTACCAAGCGAACAAAAGGAGCACCTGAGACTTGTAGACTTGAAACGGGAGGAAATACTCGAGATGAGCAAATACCTGTGATGCCTGTTCCTCCTAGGAGAGGTAGGAAGCCTAAACTGACTAATTCAGAAAAAGTAGAAAGCAGCCATTCTGATGGACAAGCGTTGTCCGTCAGCAGGCTGCCCATAGCTGTTACTCCAAGAGGAGGATTAAGGAGAGCAGAGGAAGCTGCTTCTGAAGTCTCGCAAGAGGCTAGCGAGGAAAGTTCTCCTGCTGAAGGTAGCGTTATTGCTTCTGCTCCTTCCAAAAGGACTAGAGGAAGAAAAAGTTCAGCAGG